CCCTGATCTTCATCCCCTCAGCTCTGTGCCACTGACACCTGCCCCCTATGGTTTGCATTGTCATATCTTTATTTCTACACACCCTATCTTGCAGGGCCCAGTGAGCTCTCCCCACTGTTCACTCTCCTAACTTTGGAGACCTACTCAGGGACTAGAGTTTCCCTGGGAAATTTTCTCAAGGGCTCCATACAAAATGGAGTTAGCATGTTAGCCTCCCTCAGCAACCTGAACAGACTTTTAGTGTCTTGGTTGGGTGAATTCTGAGAAATGCATTCACCCATACTCCACACCTTGTCAAAACACAGAGTAATTTCTAGCAACCCAGAAAGTTTGCCACTCTACCCCAAAGCATCTACCTCCCCTCTGGGTCTTTTACTTATGTGAAATCTTCCTTGTTTTGGAAAGGGTGGGGGCAGGACTGGGAGTGTGGCAGGAGGTGCCTATTTGCTGAGCATTGTCCCTAAGCTATTGTTCTCACCCAGGACCTGGGACCTGCTAAATGGGGGTGGGAGCACAGAAACACAGAAAACAAAGAAATAACTTCCTCTCATTCTCACATCTGACCAAAACTTCCCTTTCCTTGGATAGTGGAGGCCAAGTTCTAGTTTGTGAGAGGGTGAAGGAGAACAACCCCCACCCCACACACACAAAGCTTTCTCAGTCCTCCACTATTTCCATTACTAGTACTTTTCTCAGACCCTAATTACTAAGCTTCCTTAAGTGTCTGTCCTCTATCCTCTGTTTCCACTTGTAAGACTCTTATGTCTTTATAGTTCAATTAATAAATCCATAAGCTGGATACCAGGGGTCTGCGCTAGCCCTTAATATGGTAATAACATTTACATAGTACCCAGACCCTCCAGGAGTTTACAGTTTGGTGGGAAAGACCAACATACATGAAGCTAATGTATACATACCCTAAATCAGGTCACCTGGAACTAGTTCTGTAGACCAGGTTGAACTTACAGAGATTCACCTGCCTCTGCCTCCAGAGTGCTGGGATTAAAGGCTTGCAATACCTGGCTGACTCTCTTTCTTTAAAAAAAAAAAAAATTAGCAGTTTCTATTAGCATATATTAGACATAATTTGTTTCATTGTGACATTTTTATATATGCAGATAATGTACTTTGATCATATTCCTCACTCTCCCATTAGCCCCCTTTGTCCCCTACTTGCTCCCACTGATTGCCTCATTTTCCCAAATAATATAAGTCTCTTTCTTGGTAATGCAACTAACTACCAACCACTTACTGGCAGCTCCAAACCCTGCAAGCTTTCTCCCTGGCCTCTTCATGCTCTTTTTTACCACCTTCTCTGCATCAGGAAACAACCATGTCAATCTCTGTGGTCTCCATTCCTCTTCTGAAATGCATCCTCCCTCCATGTCTTCATTTTCACATTGGCTCATGACTTCTCATCCACCTTCTGGACTGACTTTCTAGCTACTGCAACATCTGTCTCAATGCCAGTGTCTCAGTTACTTTTTTTATTGCTATGAAGAGACACCATGAACAAAGCAACTTATAAAAGAGAGCATTTAATTTGGGGCTCACAGTTCCAGAGGATATAGAGTCCATGATCATGGTGGGGAGCACAGCAGCAGGCATGTAAGAATGGTGCTAGAGTAGTAGCTGCGAGCTTACATGTTGAGACAACAGCAGACACAAACACACACACACACACACACACACACACACACACAGAGAGAGAGAGAGAGAGAGAGAGAGAGAGAGAGAGAGAGAGAGAACTGGGATAGTGTGGGCTTTAAAATTCAAAGTTCACACATCTCCAACAAGGCCATACTTCTTAATCCTTCCCAAACAGTTCCATCAACTGGAGAATAAGCCTTCAAATGTATCAGCCTATGGGGGCCATTCTCATTCAAATCACCATAGTCAGTGTGACCCAGCCATTTCTCTCAGTTCCTAGGCCTATAGGACAGAGCACACAGCACTCAACATTCCTACCCAGCTAGTCCTGTGTATCTGCAGCCTTGGCTCCTGCTGCCTGTTCCTTCTGAGGCATCGCAGAAATACAAAGGAAATTCATGGATCATTGGAGAAAGACTCTCTCTACCCTGGGATCTAGTTTGCCTTTCCTGCTGACAGAATCAAAGAACTTCAACACAAAGGATAAGAGAATTACCTACAATGATGATGTGTGTTTTCTTAAACATATCTCAATACAGATGTTAAAAACAGCAAATGAACTAGTCTGTTAATTTTAATTTTGTTAGTTTAAAATTTACATGTGTGTATGTACTTGAGCATACACATAGCACAGTGAATATGTGATGGTCTGCTGTGGAGTATCAGTTGAAGATGTGTTACATTCATTCATGCTGTGGAATATTTGTTTAATGATGCAAAGATGTGTTACATTCTTTTGTGTTGCATTTGTTTAACTTGGTAAAGCTATGTTACTTTGCCTGAATGGTCTAATAAAGAGCTGAATGGCCACTAGCAAGGCAGGGGAAAGGATAGGCAGGGCTGGCAGGCAGAGAGAATAAATAGAAGAACAAGATGAGAGAGGAGCAGAAAAGGAGGAGAGGAGGAAGCCAGAGGCCAGCTACCCAGCCACACAACCAGCCATGGAGTAAGAAAGAAAAAGTGGTATATAGAATAGAGAAAGGTAAAAACCCAGAGGCAAAAGATAGACTGGATAATTTAAGTTAAGAAAAGTTGGCTAGAAATAAGCCAAGCTAAGGCCAGGAATTCATAAGGAAGAATAAGTCTCCATGTGTTTATTTGGGAACTGGGTGGCAGGCTCCCTAGTTAACTTTTAAACTTTAAATTTTAGACTTTGCTTAATCTTTAAACCCTGTAAATTACAACCAGAGAGAAGTTCAAACTTGTTAAAGTCACAAAATCATCCATATAGACATCCAAGTGTGACAGACTCTGGGAGAGCCCACATTCATGTCTGGAGATTGTGCCTGCTTTTTTCCTGTACTAACTTGATTTCACTACATTTCATTCTGAAAAATCTTTCCAAGGTATAGTTAAGATTTGGTCTATGCCTGAGTGGAGGTCCCAAACATCAAATGGAATGAGTCAGGCTGCTGGTAGGCACCGTGTGGGGCTGTGTCTCCCTGATATAACGACACTTCTATCTCAGCAATCCTCTTTGCTCTGGCTCCAAGAGGCTGCTCTTCTGGTCTACACCACTGACCCCTCCTGCCCTTAGTCACTGTTTAGGAAAATCCCATACCAGCCCCGACACACCCACAAATACACTGGTATCTAGGCTCTGTTCTCTGGCTAGCGTATTTCTCTGATTATCTGTGTCCTATCTTATTATCTGTAACCGAATGCTCCTCCCCCCAAGCCTGAGAGTTCCTTGAAGGCTAGGGTATTCATCTCTAAATCTTCCTTGAACAGAGAATAAGCTCCAGTGTGCCAGGCTTTGTCCAAAGACCTTTTCACATATCACCTCAGGCCTTGAGATGCTGTAGGAGAAAGACGTTACTATGGTGTTCATTCACAGTAACTACAGTGAGCAGTTAGGAACTTCCCTCAAACATGGCTGCTGAGAGTAGCAGAGCTAAGGTTTTAAGCTCAAGGATCAGGCTTCAAGTCACTTGTAATCCCTGGGCTCATCTGCCCTTCCACTTACCTGTCATCTCCCCACCTCGGTATGTAGGTAACCAAAGCTTGCAACTCTCCCAGCAGCCCCCTTTCTCTACATCTGCCATCCACAGCTCCTTCGGTTCAGCGAAGCTTGGGATCTTCTACTTTCACTTCTCTCTTCTCTCCTCATCCCTTCTCCCATTATGTCCAGGCACTATGCTTTGGATTCCAAGGGAAACATCTATCACATTCACTCCTTTCCCTTCATTCTCTCTTGCTGTCATCTGGTCAACAGCTTCCTTCAGGTGTCTCTGACTAGATTGTCTCTTTTTGGGGACCACAGAGTTTACATACCAACACAAGAGCTAGATATTGTTTACCTCTCCCCCTACCCCACAGAGTTGCTTTGTGTAGCCTTGGCTGTCCTATAATTAGCTCTGTGGATGAGGCTGGCCTTGAACTTATAGAGAATTGAGAGATTAAAGGTGTGTGCCACTACTGCCTGGATTGTTTACATCTTAAAGATGAGGAGTTGATCGAGGGACTACAGGTTCAAAAGAGATTTGTTTGATGCAAGCTCCAAAGAGACTAGAGCCTTTGGGCAAGTCACTTAACCTCACAGAATCTCAGGAAGTTCATTAATAAAATGCAGCAATCACCTTACTGAAGATAGTGAAGTCACTTAGAACCCTGCCCCACACACCTCGGTAGTTACTGGCAGTGAAAGGTCACAGTATTTAACTATGAAAGAGATGTATAGTGCATCAAGTTTTCAGTTCACTAACTGTGTCAAATAAAATGCTTTCTGGACGTTTTGGAATCATAGTTAAGAGGAAGTTACCCTGCCTGGTTCCATTGCCTTTCAACTCTCTGCTGGGAAGTTCATTTTCAGAATGTATTTCAAAAGATAATTCTGTCCATTTTGGGGAAAGTGCCCAGAATCTGTGGTTCTGTGATGTCTGGATCGTGAGACCCTGTACAAGAAAGATAGAAGCCTCTCACAAAATAGAAAACAGTAGGCTCGTCCCCCAAAGAGTATTGATGTTTATACACCATTTACATACTACATGACTTAAGACTTTACCATAATCAGCTTATTTGAGAATCCTACAGTACAAGTCGAGGATGTGATAGGCACGTAAGTCACATGGCGTTGAAAGCAAGTCTTAAACGTTGAGGAAAGGTAAGAGGTCTAAGCAAACAGACCCAGCAACTGCTAAAATGCCCATAGCCTTCTCCCAGCAGAGGCAGAAGACATCGCCTACCTCCCAGAGCCCGCCTCTCCGCCCAGTGACGCTAGCCCAAGCCCCGCCCCTCCCAGGCCCAGAGCCTGAGCGATCGGAGTCACGTGAGCGTGAGTGCGGAAGTGGAGCTGAGATACGCATTCTTGATTGGTCGCAGAGAATGTCTTGGGGGCGGGGCCAGGCGCCGGAGGTGCCGGGGGAGGAGGCTGCCGTGGGGGCCGGCTTGGAGTGGGATTCGGCCCACGGCGCTGACCGAGTGCTGGACCGGCGGCCGTCCGGCACCCAGGTCTGCACGCACCGCTGCTCCTGGTCACTCGGCCGAGGCGCTGGCCACGGGAGCCATCAGGGAGGGCTCGGGCTGCCGGGCCGGGCGCCATGTCCATGGAGGACCCCTTCTTTGTGGTGAAAGGGTGAGTGTGGGCCGAGGACTCTCGCCGCAGGGGTAAGGGAGGGAAATCGAGGCAGGGCGGCACAGCCTCTGCGCCCCGACACCGCGTGTCCTCCGGGGCTGGGTCCCCGAGAGTCCTCCTTTCGGCCCGCACGGCCACTTCGTCGGGGTTGCGCGCCGCAGGTGGGGAGCGAAGCGCTGGAGAGGGCGGACAGCATCTGGGCAGGAAAAGGGAAATGGCACTCCTGGAGTGGGCGTGCGCGGGGGCGAGCTCCATTGTGGAGTCGGGAGCTAGCCCGGGACAGTCACCCCGCGGCTTGCCCAGAGGCGTCCAGCCGGTGCGGGAGCCGGGTGCGGGAGGACGCGCGGATTCCCGGGGGAGGAAAAGTCCTCCAGGCCCGGTACTGATGTTGGAAGAAAAACAAGATACAATCAGCCAAACCAAACTTTCCGAGTCTTTCTGTGAGCCACCGGGATTTTCCCACCGTGTCGAAGGAAATTGTTTCTTTTGAACTCCTTGGTTTCATCCTGGGTGCTTGACAGGTTTTCCTCGCTTCACGTTCTGTCTTTCAGAAGCCAACTGCCCTCTTTTTGCAAGGGAGCTGTCCTGACTCCATCTTTGATTGTCTGTTGGGAGATGGAAACATCAGTTGCACTTCTATGTATCAACTTTGTAGCCATTACACAAATGCAAGAACGCACAATTACGATGTCGCAACTTATTTCTAATAACATGCCAGCTTTATGCTTTGAATGTCAGAGAAATGTCAAAAATCTGAGAACTGCAAAGACAGGATAAGTTCTACTGACTGTGAAGTGTTCCTTGTTTTTCACTAGTTGCTACTTGCATCTTATTTGTGGAGTGGCAAAAGCTGAGCAGTTGTGTGGGCGTTTGTTTTTACACTAAGGGTACTGGGAATATTTAAATGGTATTTTAGATGAGATACTTAATAAAAGGGTTTTTCTTTTACATTGCTTTAATTTAGATGGGAGAATAGGAAGGTATAGATTTAACAGTAAAACTTAACCTATATGGAAAATATATTATTTATTAGGGAACTGATTTAGGGTGTTTTGTTTTTTAATTTAGAATTGTATACTTTTCCCTTGAATGGACGGCTTTTTTTTTTTTTTTTAATTCTCTCTCTCTCTCTCTCTGGTGTGTGTGTGTGTGTGTGTGTGCTTGTATGCTGTGACACACATATGGAAGTCAGAGGACAACTCTCAGGAGTCCCTTCTCACCTTCTGCTATTTGTGTTTCAAACTCAAGTTTTTAAACTTGGCAGCAGGCACTTTTTTTTCTATGCCTGCTGAGCCATCTCATCAGCCCCAGAATTGAAGTTTTTAACACTCAAGTTGCAAAAGTTATCTCTGGCAGTGAGTAGATGCTGGTAAAAGCCAGAAAATGTTTATGTGTTTGCCTTTGAGTGGAATTTTTGACAATTTTTCATTGCTCGGCCATAAAGATATCCACCCCCCCCCCCACATATTCTGCCAGCACTAGATGTTACTACTTTATTAGAACACTGCTGTAGGTCTTTAAGGTGCCTGAAGTAAGAGTAGTTGTCTGTACTTTATCCAAGAGGAAAGTGAAGTTAGCCACATAGGTGTTTCCAGATGTGTGTTAGCATTTTCATGCATGCCCATTTGTTAACAGTATTGAGGGCCAGTGAGATATCTTAGTAGATAGGGGCACATGCAGCCAAGCCTGATGAACCCACATAGCAGAAGGAGTCCTGCTTTGTTGTCCTCTGACCTCCACATGCAGGAATTTACACACACACACACACACACACACACACACACACATACAATGGAAAAGTTTAAAAATCAAGATTATTGAAAATATTACAAATAGGAAAAGTAAAGATGTCTCAAGTATGACATTTTTTTCTCCCGTTGGGTTTTTGGATTTTCCTGACAGGGTTTCTCTATATAACAGCCCTAGATATCCTGGAACTTGTTTTGTAGACCAGATTGGCCTCAGACTCACAGAGATCCTCCTGCTTCTGCCTCCTGAGTGCTGGGATTAAAGATAAGTGCTACCTAGCAACCTAGTCAATGTCTTTGTTAATAGATGCAAAATAATACTGCCAGCTGTGATTTTTTTCTATTTTCTTCTTCTTCTTCTTCTTTTTTTTTTTTTTGGAAATAGGGTCTTGTTATGTAGAATTTGCTGGCCTGGTACTTACAGTGCAGCTCAGGCTAGCCTGAAACTCAGCAGTCACTGCTCAGTCTTCTGAGAGCTGAGATGGTAGGCATGCACTTGGCTTCAATGTGCAGTTAAAGATTATTTGTATTAAGTCTTCAAAATTTGTCATTTTAAACTTCTAGCTCATTTCAATTTGACTATTAAAAATTTGAACATATTGTCCTATATTTAGAATTCTTTAAACTTACAGTTCAAAAGATATATTCAAAGTCTGGGTTGGTAGGGAACACTTATAATCTCAGTACCTGGAAGTTAGAGAGAGGTACCGGGAACAGATGTTCAAAAGCTAGCCTCATAATTGGTTTGAAATTAGCCTGGGCTACATGAGATCCTGTCTCAAAGAAGAAAAAAGAAAAGAAGGAAAAAATTCATATACCCTAATTGCTCCAAACATAATACCACTTCTTTTGGCAGTGTACCAGTTTTTAAAATAATTAAATGTTAGTTTCTCAGTGACACCACTTTTAAAGACCTTAGTCATGCCTGAATAGTCACATGTGAATTTTATATTGGACAGCACAATATAGCCCTTCAAGGCCCGAGTGGGTGTAACCTACTCAATCATTTAGGCTGCCCATTGCCTAAAGAATAAAATGCAAAAATCAGAACATTCTTCACTTAGTCTTCCTGACAACCAAATTCAGAAAAGGTCTCCACTTAGTTATCTATGGTTATAGACATTTGACCCTAACTCACTGTCTCACACTCACTGTCGCACACTCACTGTCCATTACTATAAACAAATACTAGAGAGAGAGAACAAGAGAGGAAAGACCCATTTCTGCCTCAGGATCTCAGAAGGCTCACTCCACGGTCTTTTGAGCTCACATGCTTGGGCAGAACATGATGTCAACAGGAGAGTGTGACAGAGGGGAGGAGTTCATGCATGGCAGGCAGCAGCAGAGAAAGTGAGGCAGGAAAGGCCAAGGTTCCCCAAGAACACACACACACACACACACACACACACACACACACACACACACAGTGACTTACTTCTTCCACCAGACCCTCCCTGCTAAAGTCTTGAGAACTTCCAAACAGCACCACTAGCTGAGGCCCAGCTGTGGATACAAGGGCCTCTTGAGGTGGCCCTTCATATCCAAAACACAGCATGCTGCTCCCATAATGCCCCTTGGTAGGCCTGACACCATTGACACTGCAGGTTGGGTCAGGAGTGAATCTGACTTGTCCTTCCTTCAATTTACTTGACTCTAGACCCATCACACATACTTCCTTGGAACAGCTTTTGTTTCTGTGGCCTGGTGCTTTTCTAGGATACACCATTTTCCCTTTCTCCACTTAGTCCCAGCATTCCTCAGGGTTCTTGTACAGCTTCTGGGTGCTTACCAGCATTCGGGGGTTCAGAGTACCTCTTGTAAGCTGATGACTTTCCAGCTGTGTTTCCAACCCTAACTAACCACTTATCCAAGGTTAACGCTGTTCTTGTTAGCCACCTACCGAACAGCACCTGTTGGAGCACCTTCTTTGAGTCTGTACTCACTCTGCTCCCCTTTGCTTCCATGCTCCAGCTTGCCAGTCCAGTCTGTCACTGCTACAACACAAGGTGCTCTTACTTCACAAACAGCTACACTGCCTATTTACACACTCAGCATCTCTGAGTCACTGTGAGCATCTCCAGGGCCTCCAGGAAGGGCTTCTCTTGGGGACTGTCATTCATTATTATGCTACTACTTCTCCATGTCTAAGTAGACAGTGAGTAAAGGGTTGGACTGTTCTTTTGTTTTTGTTTTTCTGTATTTCTGGCCTAGTACCTTAAAGCACAGACAGATGCTAGCATGCACTTTTTACTGGTGGTGGTGTGGGTAGAGGTAGGATACTTCGTGGAAGACAGCATCATCAGTGGAGGTCCTGGAAGGGGGCAGGGCACTGTGTTTAGAAATGTGCCAGGGTGTCTTAATAGGCCTATTTCATTAATCATTTACTAGTACATAAATTCAGGACTAATTTGCTGGGTGAAAAAAAAATACACTATAGGAACTTAGTATTTGATGAGTTAATTCAGTTAAGTTTTCAGTTCTACACACATACACACACACACACACACACACACACACACACACACACACACACACAATTACCAAGCTTTCAGAATTAGCTTTTTTGAAATTTCAACTTCTGGTGAAACAAGACACCAAGAAAACCACAAAATTGAGCATGTTGAGATATGTCAATATAGTCACGCGTTGCTTAGTGATTGGGCTACAGTCTGAGAAATGCCTTATTAGACAATGTTGTCATTGTGAGGTAACACAGATGTACTTACAAGAACTAAGAAGGCTATACCACTAGGCCATAATTGTATTTATTTTGTGTCCATGTGGAAATCAGATTGTGGGAGTCAGTCCTCTCCTTCACCATATGTTTCCCAAGGAAAGCAGCCTCTTCCACCACTGAGCCTTCTTCTAGGCCCTGCTTTTGGTCTTGGAGACAGTTTCACTGTATTGCTCAAGATGGTCTGAAATTCAATATGCAGCCTAGGCTGACCTCAAAACCATGACAATCCTCTGACCCACGTTCTGTGATTACAGGCACATACCAACCACATCTTGCTTAGGAGGGGTTTTTGTTGTCGCTGTTGTTCATTTTTTCTGTTTGTTTGTTTTGCTATCCTCCCTCACTGGGTCAAGGAAGCTTTTGTGCTATGTTAAGATCAATTTTTTTATTTTATGTATATGAGTGCTGTGCTCCCATGCATACCTGGTTCCCATGGAGGTCAGAAGATGGCATTGATTCCCCTGGAACTGGAGTTATGGACAGCTGTAAGCTGTTATATGGGTTCTGAGAATTGA